GAAATTAGCACAACACAATGGAAACAAGCCACAACACAACGAAATTAGCACAACACAATGGAAACAAGCCACAACACAACGAAATTAGCACAACACAATGGAAACAAGCCACAACACAACGTAATTAGCACAACACAATAAAATTAGTCCTATGCATTGTGTTGTGGCAATTTCGTTGTGTTGTGGCGATTTCGTTGTGTCGCGCACTACTGGACCACCGTACTTCCTGCTTAAATACATTCATCAAATAATAAACAAGTAATCAAATACCTTTTAATAAATGCCTGTTTTTTGTGTCTGTTTAGGATAAACTATTGCATGTTAAAGGCAAGTTCCGGCTTTTCCAAAAGCCGGCTAACTTTGATCAACGGTTGAGGGAATGTGAGCGAGTGTTAGAGGAGGTGAAAGGGAAGCTGGGAGTGCTGAGTATTCGGAGTGTGGAGCAGGAGGTGGTACAGTCACAGTTGGAGCAATGCATGGTGGGTAATATAGGGTGTTTTGGTGTTTTAATAGCCTTTAACCTTATTTTTTTTATAAATGCATCAATTGTTAATGTATGAATAGTTGTGGAGATTGAACTGATAACTTCATACAGTATGAAATTTGTTCTGTGTTTTGTTAAAGTTCTAATTTGAATAATTTCTAACTGTTTAATTATAGGTTTTTTTTAATCATACGTTGCCATTTGGTTCTTGTCAGGCAGCAATATCACACTGAGTTTAATCACATTCTCTATTTCCCCCATGTAGAAGTTCTATAAGAATCTGAGTGAAGTGAAATCGGAGGTGGAGGCGGTGATAAAGATGGGAAGACAGATTGTGCAGAAGCAGCAGACAGAGCAACCCAAGGAGCTGGACGACAGGCTGACGGCCCTCAAACTCGCGTACAATAATTTGGGTTCACAGGTAAGGGAATACAACGCTAAATGTAAGACGTGTACAGTACTAGTTTAATGCAGATACTCATTGTATATTGTTACTGTTTCTCATTTAAGGATAATAGTAATATCATCAAAACCATGAAATTACACAAATGAAAGTATGGAAATTATGTTAAAATAAAACAAAAGTATCTTTTATAGAAGTTTATTCACATTACCGTTAAAAGGTTGGGGTCAGTAAGAATTTTTTTTTTTTTTTTAAGAATTATTATTTTTTTATTCAGCAAGGATGCATTAAATTGATCAAAAATAACAGTAAAAACATTTAGAATGCTATAAAAGATTTTTGTTTCAAATAAATGCTGTTTGTTTATGTAGCAACTATCTTTGAGATAGTTTTGAAGGAGTTTCCATTTATGCTGAACATTTGTTGGCTGATTTTCCAAACGTCTCATTTGTTTGTGTGCAGGTAGCAGAAGGAAAGCAAGAACTGGAGAAGCTTTTAAAGTTATTAAGGAAGTTTAGGAAGGAGGTAAACAGTCTGACAGAATGGTTGGCAACTACTGATGAGGAACTGACGCGCCGCTCTTCAGTGGAAGGCATGCCATGCGATTTGGATGCAGAGTTGTCTTGGGCAAAGGTAAATGAATACTCAGCTGGCTTAATTTCAGCAGCATTGTTTATATCTTAAACAGTTTGCTAGTCATTAAAAGATTAGTTCTTCCAAAAATTGACAGTTCTGTTATCCATGTTTTTCCACACTTAAAATGCCTTTCAGTGGAAAGGCGAATTGTTAGCGAATTGTTCGTTTATTATCAGTGCTGTGTTGTTTCCAAGAAGGTGGGTGTGTTGAAGAAAAAAAGTCACTTCGTTTTTGAAAAGAAAAGCTCAAAAACAACCTATTAAAACATAATCTTTCCCACCCAGGCGAAGCAGGAGGACACTGAGTGTCATAAGCCACAGTTGAAACTGGTGAGGGAGTTGGCAAAGACCCTGAAGGGTTTACTTTGTAGCCAGGAGAACCTTATTGATGACAAGGTCAGTCTGCTCAACTGCAACTGGATCGCAGTGACGTCACGGAGCGAGCAGTGGCTGAAACTCCTGCTGGTGAGCAACCATTCAGAGCAACTGTCTGACCCTTTTCTGAGTCATTTCATTCTAGGCAAAATATTTCTTATGCTAAATATGCCCTACAAGGCTAAATTAATTTCCTTTCAATTCCACATCTCCAGGTTGTTCCTTAAAATCCAGACAGTGATTTCTGGAGGCGGCAATAATGTTATGAAACTGTTAAGCACATTTATTAAATGCATCAATTGTTAATGTATGAATAGTTGTGGAGATTGAACTGATAACTTCATACAGTATGAAATTTGTTCTGTGTTTTGTTAAAGTTCTAATTTGAATAATTTCTAACTGTTTAATTATAGGTTTTTTTTAATCATACGTTGCCATTTGGTTCTTGTCAGGCAGCAATATCACACTGAGTTTAATCACATTCTCTATTTCCCCCATGTAGAAGTTCTATAAGAATCTGAGTGAGTTGAAATCGGAGGTGGAGACAGTGATAAAGACGGGAAGACAGATTGTGCAGAAGCAGCAGACAGAGCAACCCAAAGAGCTGGACGACAGGCTGACGGCCCTCAAACTCGCATACAATGATTTGGGTTCACAGGTAGGGGAATACAAGGCTAAAAAGACATGTGCAGTTCTAGTTTGCCACAGCTACTCATTGTGTATTGTTACTGTTTTTTGTTTTTTATTTTAGCACAATAGTAATATCAAAACCATGAAAGTATGGAAATTATGTTACAATAAATCAAAAGTATCTTTTGCACAAGTTTATTCACTCTACCATTCAAAGGTTTGGGTCAGATTTTTTAGAATAAATTAATACTTTTATTCAAGCAAAAGGCATTAAATTAACAGTAAAAGTTACATGAAAAGCAGCAGTAAAAACATTTAGAATTTCTATTTCAAATAAATGCTGTTCTTTTAAACTTTCAACAGTTATTTTAAATTGTAATGATATTGTTTTTACAGTATAGAGTATACACAGTACCCAAACATTTGAACACAATATATATATTAGTAACTATCTTTGAAATAGTATTGTAGTATTGTAAAAGTTTTGTATAGTAAATAGTTTCCATTTATGTTGAACACTTGTTGGCTGATTTACAAAACATTTGTCTGTGTGCAGGTAACAGAAGGAAAGCAGGAACTGGAGAAGCTTTTAAAGTTATTAAGGAAGTTTAGGAAGGAGGTAAACAGTCTGACAGAATGGTTGGCAACTACTGATGAGGAACTGACGCGCCGCTCTTCAGTGGAAGGCATGCCAAGCGATTTGGATGCAGAGTTGGCTTGGGCAAAGGTAAATGAATACTCAACTGGTTTCATTTCAGCAGCATTGTTTATATCTGAAACAGTTTGCTAGTCATTAAAGGAATAGTTCTTCCAAAAAATGACAGGTCTGTTATCATTTACACACCTCCATGTCTTTCCACACCTAAAATGCCTTTCAGTAGAACATAAAATTAGATGTTTTGAAAAATGTTTGTTGTATTTTCATTTCTTGGTGAACTATTCTTTTTAAAATGGTGAATTGTTAGTTTATTAGCAATGCTGTTTTGCTTCCAAGAAGGTGGGTGTGTGTGTTTTTACTTAAAGTTACTTCATTTTTGGCAAGAAAAGGTCAAAAACAGCCTATTAAAGGGGTCATATGATATTGCTAAAAAGAACATTATTTTGTGTATTTGGTGTAATGAAATGTGTTTATGCGGTTTAAGGTTAAAAAACACATTATTTTCCACATACTGTACATTATTGTTTCTGCGGCGTTATGCAAATCTTCCTAAATCGTGACGTAGACATGTGGGGGTGTGTTAGAATGAGCCGTTTTAGGTAGCCGTGGTTGACTCTTTTATAAAGAATATCTCTTTGGATTTGAGACTTTAGTCTTTGCAACTTTACAAATCTTCTTTATGCACCAAGAGCTTGTAACACTTCAAAGAGAAAGGAAAAATTGAAATTGCATCATATGACCCCTTTAAATCATCATCTTTCCCACCCAGGCGACTCAGGAGGACACTGAGCGTCATAAGCCACAGCTGAAACTGGTGAGGGAGTTGGCAGAGACCCTGACGGGTTTACTTCGTAGCCAGGAGAACCTGATTGATGACAAGGTCAGTCTGCTCAACTGCAACTGGATCGCAGTGACGTCACGGAGCGAGCAGTGGCTGAAACTCCTGCTGGTGAGCAACCATTCTTAGCAACTGACCCTTTTCTGAGTCATTTCATTCTAGGCAAAATATTTCTTATGCTAAATATGCCCTACAAGGCTAAATTCATTTCCTTTCAATTTCACAACTCCATATTGTTCCTTTAAATCCAGACAGCGATTTCTGGAGGCGGCAATAATGTTATGAAACTGTTAAGCACATTTATCTCCCACTCTTCTTTATTAGCTTTCTACTACTTGCTGTTTCCTCCATCATTTTTCTCATCTTTTATCTCTTTGACTATATTTTCTCCTTGCTCTACTTTGTAAATAACTATGAATATCTGAGGGACACTATGAGATAAGGCTTGGCCTCTAAGGTATAATCAAAACGATTAAAGAAATATTTCACCCAAACTCGAAAATTCTGAACCTGTATGACTTACTTTCTATCATGTTATGCAAAAGGATTTCACTTTTCACTCTTTTCCATGATGTTGAAGAGAGACTTTTTCATGCTTCATAATGGACATAAGAGTATTGTAAAAAACTGATCAGTCTTCTGAAATTTATGTCAAAAAAGGACGCAAAAGCCTAATAAATTAATCATGAAATTGGCCCATGCAACCTTCCACTATATTTCACTATAGTTATTATTGAAAATGGCATGGAAAACAATCTTCAAATGTTGTTTTTTTTTGTGTTCAGCATCAGAGAGAAAGTCATACAGATTTGGAACAACACGACAGTGAGTAAATAATGACAGAATGTTCATTTTCTGGGTGAACTATTTCTTTAATGTGACATGAAATTTCCTTGCGCTACAAATTTCCTTTGTGCTAACCAGCCAAATGTAAATATAACTCTTCATCTATCATCCAGGATTATCAGAGTCAAATGAAAACACTTGAGCAGAACATTTCTCAGATCAACACCTGGATGGATCGTGCTGAAGAAATGCTGGATGAGATGGACAGCCAGGGCTGTGTCGAGCACGTTATAAAGGTCTTCTCTAGCACATAACACACAATCACAATGAGCTGTTCCACTTGACATCCAACTGTTCTCCATTACTGAGGACTAGAGATTGTTTTATGCAGCCATACTTTTCCATCAAATTAAATAAACGGTTATCCATCTTTTCTATGACAATAATGTTTTGATGGCTCATTAATTGGAAGCCATTTGCAGCAAATAAAACTCTAGATTAGGCCATTAGGGAGAACAAAACAGACGGACAAAAAAAAAAAGTTTTGTAGTTTTATTGATCATCATTTCTATTATCATTTACATATGATAATTGTTTGAATGTCTAGGGTTTGCGGATGGAGCTGGAGGAGGTGAAGAGGAAGGTTGAAGTGGTGCAGGTTCTGGCAGAGGACCTTATAAAGAACAGAGGGGAACACTGTAAAGCTCAAGTGAAACCGAAGCTAGAACAGCTCAATCAACGATTTGACATTGTTGCAAAGAGGATTTTATTGGGACAGGTAGTTTTATGAAAAGCTGTATGTCTGATATACGTATACAAATACATAGAACACATATGTAGAGCCATGGTGAGCCATCTGATTTCTCTTCCTTTGTTGATCCTTAAATTCGTCAGAGACATTGTCTTATTATCCCACTTAGAAAATAGATTTTTTTTGTGTGTGTAATTAATTGGATTTTTATATATTTGATCATATTTTTTTCCAGGCCTCCTCTCAAGAGTTAGATGAATACCATAGACAGGCTAATATATGGCTCCGGGTGCTGGACGAGGAGATTAAATTAGGTGAAAGTCTAAAAGAGGAAGATTTTCTGGAGGATGTGGTAAGAAAATACTCTCAGCTGTTTCTTTGGCTAAAATTAATTTCAGTCACTGGAACTGCACGGGCAGCGAAAGGCTGAAACAGCCTCTGAGCTTATCGTAAAGATCTCATGACAAGAAACATAATGAGTTTCAGGGAATGGATCTGGTTCATGAGTAACAAATGCTGGAACAGTACATCATTACATTTTTTATTGGTTTTAACGGCTGAAAATGGTCTAATAGATAGATGGATAGACAGATAGATTTGACGGCACTTCTGACATAATTTGCTAATTTTTTCTGCTATTTCATTCGCAGGGCATAGATGAGGATGCCCTAAATGAACTGTTCTTAAAAGGAGAAAATCTCCTCAAGAGAACTCCTAGCGGGGAGAAAAGAGAGGCTGTCCGTGAGAAACACAATCTTTTTCATGACAAATATGACACTCTGAAGGTAATTATTTTGCATGCTGCCACATGTCAAGTACACATTTCATGCATTTACAAGCTCTTGACATTAGGCTCATAACACGTCATTGAATTTGAATGTTTTCTTTACGTACAAACCCAGGACAAATGCATCAAACATCTAACTGTCCATACGATGTAATTTTGCGGTAATGCAAAAGCAGTTAATTGTTAGTTTGATTGCACATTACAAAAAAATTGTTTCCTCATCAGTATTTTTATTGTTTTGTTTTTTTCAGTAAAGCATTCTTAAAACAAGACAAGTGAACTTAAAAATTCTGTGATAAATTAGTATTTATTTTTCCCATTTTATATATAATATAAATATATATATTAGTGCTGTCAAACTATTAATCGTGATTAATCGCATCCAAAATAAAAGTTTTTGTTTATGTAATATATATGGGTCAAAATTATTATATTAAATTTCCTACCATAGATATATCAAAACTTAAGTAAAGTAAAGATAAAGATAAAAGATAAGTAAAATGCATTGCTAAGAACTTAATTTGGGCAACTTTAAAGGCGATTTTCTTAATATTTAGATTTTTAATATTTAGATACAACTATTTGAAAATCTGGAATCTGAGGGTGCAAAAAACTCAAAATATTGAGAAAATTGCCTTTAAAGTTGTCCAAATGAAGTTCTTAGCAATGCATATTACTAATCAAAAATTAAGTTTTCATATATTTACAGTAGGGAATTTGCAAAATATCTTCATGGAACATGATCTTTACTTAATATCCTAATGATTTTTGGCATAAAATAAAAAAATCTATAATTTTGACCCGTGCAATGTATTTTTGGCTATTGCTACAAATGTACCCCAGCGACTTAAGACTGGTTTTGTGGTCTAGGGTCACAAATATTGTCCTATATCCTAACAAACCATACATCAATGGAAAGCTTATTTATTCAGCTTTCAGATGATGTATAAATCTCAATAAAAAAAAAGACCCTTATGGCTGGTTTTGTGTTCCAGGGTCACATAAAAAAAAATGTAAAATGCTAAAGTATTGGGACAATTTCCCTGTGTTAAAATCACTGTAATGTGCTGCATCTTATGGTTTATTGATTTAATCGGATTGAAAAACAGTTGAGTTGTATGAAGTGTTTTTTTTTTAATTTCCTGAACATTCATTTTTCCATCTGTTTATTGCTCTTCATTGAACAATAATCAGTTTTTTTTTCATCTAAGTAAAACTGAATAAGACACATTTGTTCTCCATCCTTGTATGTTCAGGAGCTGCAGTTTTTGCTGCAGTGTATCGCTGAAAACGAAGCTGTGCTGAACTCTCCTGAGCGCTGGTCTGCAGCATTCATCAACGTTCCCCAACAAGACAAGTGCCTTAAGGTTATATCATAAACCATGTCTCATTTCTACGAATGATTTTTATTAGCCAATGCATTTTTGTATCCAAGAGCTGATTCAATCTATTAATGATTTGCTCATGAGCTGTACATGAACACAATTTGTTTTACGCCCACCATTGAAACAGCAGTAAAACTAATATAAATGCTTTAATCAGTTGTGTTACATGTGATTTAGGAGGTTAAAGTTAATCTGGATAAACTGGAGAGTCCAGTGACGGAAGTTCTGGGAAGGGGTGCCTCTTATCCGGAGAAGAGTTTACTGGTCCAGCTGCTCAGAACCAACTGGGAAAACCTTAAAAAGCTCTATCATGACCGACTTGCGTAAGGATGAATGACATTACACTGTTGAAATTTGCCTTGTCATTTAAATGAGTCAATAGAATGTGTTATTAAATAGGAAAATTGTTAAACATATAATGTAAAACATTATAGTATTAGTTTAGTATTATTTACATCTTCTTATAGTATTTATTAATATTTTGAATGAGCTTTTATTTTAAAATTTTCATTTTAGTTTAAGTTTTAGTAATTTGTTATATGTCATGTTTATATTTATATGAAGCTTTTATTTCAGTACTTTAACTTCAGTTGCAATTAATTTGGGTTATTACGTTTTTAATATGTATGTTTTATTTTATTTCAGCTTTGTCTGTTAACGGAAACAACATTTGATAGTTTTAATTAAAAACATTTGCTAACAGATTAAGTATTTAGAATGCCTCAAAATCTATGCAATCTTCTAGTCATAAGTAAAGGAGTTATTCTAAATGAGCTGTCAATTAGTAAGCCACAAAAATGTTTTTGAATGCTTTTATAATTAAATAATGTTCACGTTAACTTTTGATTCCAATAAATTTTGCATTTTAAATAAGAATATAGATTTTTATTTTCAGTGCATTCTCTCTCTTTACTCTCTGACTCAAAATGTTCTGTTTGTCTACTTGTGTTGCTGTCCAGACGCCTTGAAAAAGCCAAGAAATTCAGTGAGGAGCATAAAACGCTTGACTATTGGCTCACAGATGCTGAGAGGACGATAGTGAAGTATGAACAAGACCCCATAAATAACAGAGACCACCTCAAGGTAATCATAAATTTAATCTGTGGCTACAATTTTATTATTTAAATATAATATATAACAAAGTGTATTGTGTATAATATATTAAGACTACTACTAAAGGAATGGTTGACCAAAAAAAATTCAAATTCTGTCATGATTTATGCACCCTCATGTGTTACCAAACATGTATGCATTTCTTTCTTAGGCAGAAAACAAAAGAAGATATTTTGAAAAATGTTGATAACCAAACATCTATTATTTATTCATCTAATGAAAATCAATGGTAACCAAAATAGTTTGGTAACCAACATTCTTCAAAATATCATCTTTTATGTTCTACAAAACAAAGAAAGTCATACAGGTTTGGAACAATATGAGGTGAGAAAATAATAATGACAGAATTTTCATATTTGGGTGGATTATTTTTAATAACTATTATCGGTAATAAAGCTTTCATAGAAAGTGTTACCAGATATTTTTAAAGGCAGTAAGTCATGTTAGATTAGTTTTCAGAGTATCCATACTGCGACATTCTACTTTCCCAGGAGCTCCAGTGGGGTTTGGAGAAACAGGAAGCAGCAGTGAAGGGGCTCAATGCTCTTGGGACAGATATGACTCCACAGTGCAGTAAGGACGACAGGGACCACATTAAACAGCAGCTCGCCTCTATCAACTCCCGCTGGGCCAAAGTGTCCAACCAGCTCACTGAGATCAAGAGACGGTTAGTACAAATTCAGGACGCATTAATGCAGGCAGCTTGTGAGAGAGCCGCACACGTTTGAATATCTTAGCATAATTCAATTTGAGCAGAAAACACCTACGTAATTGTCCTCTTTTGTCCTTATTTTGAATGAATGCATAAATATGGCTGCTGTGTGTTTTAGGTCTGCAGGGGCAAAAATTGTTCTTGCCGAGTTAAATAAAGACATGGTGGAGTTTCAGTCCTGGCTGGATGATGCAGAGGCTGTGGTTGCACTTCCTGTGGAAACAGGTCACAAGGAACAGCTCAGTGCAACATTAGAAAAAGTGAAGGTAAAAATCTCTTGCTTAAAAAGAAACCACACATGGGGACAAAAACATAGCTTTTAGCTCCATATTAAAGGGGTCATATGATGCTGCTAAAAAGAACATTATTTTCTCCCATGAGGCAAATCACCAAAAATGAGTCACAAAGACGAGCAGATAATTAGTGTGTGTGTGTGTGTGTGTGTGTGTGTGTGTGTGAAAATCTTCAGGCCCAGGTGGTGGAACTGCCGAGCAGGAAGCAAGCGCTTCATCAGATCAACAGCAAAGGCTCATCTCTCCCAGCTGATAAAGTCAAACCTCTGGAGAAACATCTAAAGGTTATCAACATGCGATGGGCCAAGGTAATCTAAATCGTTTCTTTCCTTCTCTACTGTTTGATCTTTCTGGCCTATTAAATTCAATGATTATGTGACCTTGGCATGATTACAGCCTAATGAGGGCATTATCATTGAATAGTAGGATTCAAGTAATTGTAGATGCATAATAACGTACCTCTAATACATTAAGATTCATCTCAAGAAAGCATGTTGCATTTTACCCCATAATATTAGTTAGATATTAGATTAGTTTTTATTTTATTTGCATTCTTACATTATTTACATGACAATTAAGCATACAGTATTTCCCCCTAAATTCTCATTAATTCCTCAAAACTAGTGATTCTTTTTAAATTATCCTCAGGCTACTGTAATGCATTGATACTGTATATATATATATATATTATGTTAGCATAAGTTAAATGCATTTTTACAAATATGTTATATAAATACTTCATAAATGTTTTTTTTTTACTATTTTGTTGATACAGTGAAATTAATACATTTTAAAGTGTGATTACACTGAAAAAAATAATCCACTCAGAAATTGCTAGTAAATTTCACAATTAATTACAAAAACAGCAAGTAACACACAGTGAATTTTTTAAGTGGAAAGACTGAAAAAGTTACTCCAAAAATCTTCTGTTACAGTGTTTTTACAGTGTAATAGTATGATACTTTTCCCCTTTCTTTGATATTTTGTTTAAGCAGTTATGTTGTTAAGACAAGTGCAATTCATATATTTTAAAATGTGACTTCCAAATACTGTTTGGGTTCAAATTTCCCCTTTAAAAAAAATAAATAAATAAAAAATGAAAATGTCATGAAAACAACGCAAAAAGTGATAATGGTCCTAAAAATAAGCTTTCTGTTCTTTATGAAAAATAATATTTATTTTTAATTCTCTTATTTTTCATATTTCAATATCTCTTTTGATTTTGGTGTAAAATATAACCTGGACTTCTAGAAAGATTCCCTCCTGCAGTGATTTACTGCAAAGAACTTTAAATGTTTCTTTCTCTATTCCAAAGGTGTCCACTGTTCTTCCTGAGAAGCAGCGACAAATCGAGGATCTCCTGAGGGATTTGTCTTTGTACCAGGAACAGCTCTCCAAGCTCTCAATTTGGGCCTCCACTACAAAGAATCAGCTTGAGCAGTCCCCTACTGCAGTAGACCCAAAGGTAATCTCACAGACGTGATCAAGCACATATGTAGAACACACTACCCACAGTCTTGCTGTTTCATAATACAGCTTTCTGTCTTATTTCAACTTTAGGCAATAATATTTAGCCTGGTGTGGTGTAGTGGTAGAGGCTCATGGCTGGCAACCATCACATTGCTTATTTGATCCCTTCATTCATCAACAAGGTGTTTTCAAAGATTAAGGAAACTTTAATGTTGTACTCTATTATAAAAGTCTGATTGAACTTTTTTAATGACCCATTGCTTTGCCGGTCAGGGTCTTTAGGGAAAAGAAAATAATATTATTTAACTGTCACCAACTCACTGGTCTTATTTTACACAGTCTCTCAAATTTGTAGCAAGAGGGTTTTTAGACGACATAGACTGTCAATTTAATTAGACTCCCAGCATCATCTTCATACAGAGCTTCAGCTGCTCCCATCAAGACACGTGTTTCGCTTCCCTAGACATGGAACTAATGGGTTCAGGAAATCATTTGTTCTTTCAGTTACTAAACTTATTAAAAAATCAGTACATCTGTACTTAAGTGGATTTGAATTGATTGAATTGACATGCTGTTTCTTTATACTTTTTTTTTGTTTGTTTTTTGTTTTTTCAAAACCAAATCTTTGTTTCTTGTTAGTGGTGCTCGGCAAGGCAAGCATGACTATTACTATTGCTATTGCTCCTTTTCATAGTTAAGGGTATTTCTCCCCCAAAATCAATTAATTCTTCTTCTTTTTTTCCCCTTTTGATTTTGGAGTGACATGTGACCTGGACTAGATTGCTTGTTTAATGAGGGTTGTTGTTAATTTATTTTTATTTTGTGTAGATTGAGGAGGATGTAAAGGAAAAGAAACCAGCAGTGGAAGCCGTTTTGGCGAAAGAGAGACCACCATGCAAACCGGAGAAGGTGTTTAATCGACCATGAAATTATTAAATATGATCTTAGAAACGCTATGACTATGATATTAGATTACTCTGCACACTTCCCAGTAGTATCTACCATCGCTGTACTGTAATGTAATATATCAGACTATATCAGTCTATCAGCTTCATGGCATGAAACTTTATTTAATATAATTCTCCTGGATTGATGTATTCCAGGGGCAATTTGATGGCCTCAGTGCAGATTGGACATCCATTCAAGTTCTCCTTAAAGACTGGCGAGACAAATGTCAGCTCGCAGGTATGAAATCGCATAATGTGTGATGATTGAAGCTACAATAATATGCTATTAAAATTCACGCACATCTCATGTTGCTTATGTGATTTTGGACGTCTGAAAGTCTGAACAAAAGATCATTTGTTACTTTCCAGCCGTAACTTTGACTGGTAGTGCAGCAGGAGATGCAGCCCTTGATAAATTCAGTAAATCCTGGATGGAGCTTGATGATTGGCTCACTCTTTTGGATCACATGGTCCAGACTCGGAGAGTAATGGTCGGAGATCTTGACGAGATCAACGAAATGACGGTGAAACTCAAGGTCAGATTGTGACGTCAGCTTGCAGCTCTTATTCCATTTCCACGGTAAAATACTTGGTTTACTGTCCTGCAGGGGCAGCATTTCATCTTTTCTCCATACTCCCTAAAGCAGCAAAGAGAATTTAGTTTAACCAAAAATTTAACCAACTTCCACCCTTTCTATGACCCCTAGAATTGCACAGGCTGTACAGTAAATGTTAATGACCTCTGTTATGATTGGCTAGCCTTTTCACATTTAAAATTAGCAGCAGACTAAACCTTATTATTATCAGTTAAGGTATTCATTCAAGGGAAATACTGTTCAATTGAGCTGCAAAAATCATTAAGATGAAGAACCTTGAAGATGGCATTTAAACACTCAAGTCTTAAAGGCACAGCATTCAAAATAGGCTGTTAATTAAACAGAAAATGGTGTTTAAAAATGTAATTGTGGTTGGTACATATTGTGTTTGTGGGTGTGTGTGTGTTTTATATATATATTAGGGCTGGGCAAGTTAACATGTTATTATTGCGTTAACGCATTGATTTAATTAACGCCGACAGTTATTTTATCGTGCATTAATGCAGTTTTTTATTATTGTCCATTGCTCACTGGCTCTGAATACACATACAGGTTAAGATTGCCTAGTGTGAGTACACCCGTATTCTCCCGCATCACCGCACACACGAGTGTCTACCCGCCCGCACTCGCCCATCAAGTGTTAAAAAAAAAATTTAATATATTGAATATTGATTTTTTTTTTGTTCCCATGTCTTGAATTTTAAGCTCACATAACTGCATTCTAATAGGTTACATTCAGTCACACAGTCAGTCGTTCTGAATCATGATCATCAGCAACTGCATGCAATGTGAGATGACTTAAAAATGTTAACGTTACTGGTACAAAAGTTTTTTCCATATTTAATCACACCAAATTAACATGTTAAATTGACAGCCCTAGTACTAATCACCAATATAATATAAAACTGTAAACCAATATAATCACCAGCAATATCACCAAAATATATTTGTTGTACTAACATAATACAAAAAATATACAGTATGGCTCTTTTACCTCACATAGTGGCCTCATGAGACCACAAGATCCCACACAACTCTGTAGTAAAAGAATTCTCTGCTGTGATTTAACAGTCAACACTGCAAGACATGGAGCAAAGATGCCCACAGCTGAACAAACAAATCACTGCGGCTCAGAACCTGAAGAACAAAACCAATAACCCTGAGACACGGGCAACCATTACAGACCGCAGTAAGTCAGCTTTGCCTCATCCATATCCATATTCTCTCTCAGCGATACACTGTATTTGTGGTGATATGAAGGTTCTAACATTGTAACGGCTTGATGGAAAACTAAATCTCAGAAGTAATGCAGAAAGTAAACAATGACTGTTGGCAAGGATTGTGTCTTAACAGGCATCTCAAGGTCATATAGTGTTATAAGACAACACTACTGAACACAAACTACAATATACTGTAAGACAAAAGAGTTTAAGAGTTTGGATTTATTTTTTAAAAGTATGTTATATCTGGTGTAATATCTTGTTGCTCATACTTAAAAAAAGAAAGAATATTTTGTATGGCCACAATTTTTTTTTTTTTTTCAGAAATAAAATTTAAAAAGTAAAAATGTCGTTAAACAATGGCATTATATTTGGTTGTGAGAAACAATCAGTCTTTCAACCAACCAATCAATCAATTTATTTATTCATTCAAAAATAATTAGACAAACAATTCATTTCATTTTATAGACCATTATATAAACTATGTCTATGATTTTCAGACTTGTTCTTTAGAAACTTTCTGTCTTTTATTTCAAGTTGAAAACTTACAGGCACACTGGGAAGATTCCCACGCCAAGCTGACGGACAGGGTCCTTCAACTGCAGAACATGTATAAGGACTCTAGCGATTGGCTGGAGGCCAGAAAAAGGGTGGAGCCTCTCATTAAGAAAGCCAATGAAAAACTGGAGAGCTGGAAAAAGGTTTCTCACAGTGCTGATGATTTAAAAGGCATAAATGCAGATGTCAAGGTAATGTAGAATGAACACAATATCTATTTCATGAGAGAACACAAGTGAGAAACTGAAATAAACTCGAGTGGGTGTGCTTGCGTTCCTTGAATGAACTGCAGATGAATGCATGTGATTTGATTACTACAAATAAATGCTTTATTATTATATTGCAGCAACTTTCTAAGGATATCCAGCAGGGGCAAGCTCAGATGAATGTCACCAATGAGCTGGCAAACAAACTACTGACCCTTTATGCAGACGATGACACAAGCAAAGTTAAACAAATGACTGAGAGCATGAATCTAGCTTGGGCCAACATCAAAAAGCGGTGAGCTTCTGTTTAAATCTTTGATTTTTCAGTATCACCAACTAGTGGAATGACATATGATAACATTCTCCCTGAAAGGAGGGTATTTGTGGTATTGTTGAGTCTGAAAATAATGCACTGCTGACACAGTGAGGGTGCATAAGAGGTTGTTTCAAAGGTGCAGTTGCTTTCAGGAGAATTGTGTGCCATTCAAGATTCTGTGGTTTGATGTTTAAAGCATTTGTTACCAACAGATTTAACAATCTAATAATAACATGTATTGAATGTTAAAGAAGTATGTTAAGGTACTACTTAATTCAACCTTGTTTCTATATAATAATGAAGTCATTTCCCTTTCAGTGCAGGGGACAAGGAGGCAGATCTGGAAGCCGGACTGCGACAGTTGCAGCATTTCTACTTGGACCTGGAGAAATTCCTTAATTGGCTTACTGAAGCAGAAACCACAACCAATGTCTTACAAGATGCCACGTTTAAGGAGGGACTTCTGGAAAACCCTGCCACAGTGCGGCATTTACTTGAGCAATGGCAGGTAAGCGGTATTTCCAAATCACAGCAATTTTCTCTCTTTGTTTAAAGAATTTAGGCACCCTGTTCCAGCTCCAGTCCAAGTTTTACATTTCCTGCTACCCACATGCATTGATGAGAGAAACCCTACGCCAGGCTTTCCAGTTTTTTGTTTTTGTTTTTGTCAGTCCTCTTAGACATAAAATATTTTGTTGAAGTTATTATTTCAGTAATTGAACAACACATTTGAATGTTTACGGTTCTCCGATAATAATAATTATAATAATTTTAAAAAGATAAATCATTTTAATTATTTAATGTTATTAGTAATAGTAGTAGTAGTATGTTTTAAGTATTATTTATAAAATAATTCTAAAAATAAAGACAGAAATACACAGTTATAAATTATAATAATTTAACAACACATTTGAATGTTCACGGTTCTGTAATGTCAATTCTACTAATACTACTATGAATAATAATAATAAAAGTTGTAATTGAGATTATTATTAGTAGTAGAATATTTTAACTATTCTAAAAATAATTCTAAAATAATAAACAAATTATTAAAAAGACAAATATATTATAGTTGTAAGTTACAATAATTGAACAATACATTTGGAGATTCTCTGATGTCGAATAATAATAATTTTAATAGTTATTTTTAACTCTGTATTATTAGTAACTATTATTTTATAGTTATAGTTTTAACTATTATAAAAAAAAGTAAAATATTTATAAAAATAAAGAGAGAAATATATTACTGTTGTAAATTACAAATGTACTGTAAAATAAAACTTTGATAATATTTTATAATTACAATAATTCACTGTGAATCATGCAGCACATCAGACTATAATAATAATAATAATAATAATAATATTAATTATTATTAAATAAATAATATTTATTATTAATTATTATTATTACATCAGACTATACAGTTAATTCATTGAATTGAAGCCTTTGATTTGATAATCGCCTCATGCAGCCCCATTTATTTATTTATTTAAGTTTTCCATTCAATATAATTAATTCGCTTTTCATCAACTCGCAAACACCCTGCAGTTTCCTCATGAACCCCATTTGGGAAACCTACTCAATGTTCACTCCTTAGTGAAAATTTGCACTAAATTGCTAATCCGCTTTGGTTTTAATATCACAGACATCTGTGACTAATATAAATAAAAAATATATTAAAAAAAGTATACATACACACTTTTCTAAAACATTTTATAACGTTATCCGCCTGCAGCTTTTCTGCATTAAAATACAGATAGGACAGCACTCCTCCTTAGATTTAAACAGTTGTACAGAGTAGTGTTTGATGCGGTTCTGTTTTTCTGGGGTTTTAGGACATAAACACCATAACAGTGTTACTGAAGAGTAAATAATGTTAAACTCAATTCCCATTATCAGCTCTCAGGAGTTTAAGTGTTATTTATTAGGAAAGCAGAGTAAACTGACGGGTCCATTGTCCAGGTCGCCCGCTGCTCACTGGTATGGGAGATATGTGCATTTGGCAACGGTGCAGAGACGCAGTTAAATATGAAGAGGCAGACAAAGACGTGGGCTATAAAGAGAAGCCTCTGTTCTCCCAGAAAACCAGCTCTGACCCATTCCTCGCTCGCAGTGCCCACTCGCGTCTCAAACAACAGGGCCAGTGTGCCTCTGCGACTGGCATTCTGCAACTCATTTCACATCGCATGTAGACACATGGTCGCAGAATACATTTCCTCACTCTCATCCTCACGGTGTCCCTTTCTCCCTCGTTTTCGCCTCGCGTCAGACACGTCCACATGGTGGGGAATTAAAGGATTGTCTCTGCAGACAGTCAGACGGGCTGTTTTCCATTCATTTGATGTCGCTCGTTCATTGGATATGTTGCACAGGAAGACGTATCATGTTAAGGTTTGATCTTCACTGTCAGCTTCACGGTTGCTTTGTGACTTTGGATTTGTTTGGCTTGCATCATGACTTTGAATGAAATTGGTTTATGCCATCTCAAACTATGGGAACAAGCACTTAAAATATAGTCCGAGAAAATGCATGAAAATTGTTGGTTTGTTGATGGTATTGCACTAATCTATTCTATAATAATGCAACAAACAAAAAAATCTATATGTATTTGAATGTATCATTACATTGCTAGTGATTTATGACAATTGTTGGTTTGTTAACGGTATTCCATTAATCTATTCTCAAAAAAAGAAAAAAAAAAGAAAAAAAAAAAAGTATTTGAATGTATCAATACATGGTAATTTGTGAAATATGGTGATAAAATAGATTTCCATTTAAAGCACATGAATTTTGAAATGCTGCTGACTTACGTTACTACTAAAATACGTAAAATACTAAAATATGTCTAAAAATGCTATTTTTAATTAATGAGAGCAGTGATAACATCTGAAACTATTATTGACTCTTGATTTTGTCTTTAAAGGTATATATTATATTATATCATATCATATTATTTTATTTTATATTATATTCAGGGTTATTGTAATTGACTAAAACTACAAAATTATTTTTTGTTACTTGAAATTAAATAAAGCAACATTTCTCATTTACATTTAGTTCAACTTGATGTTCTAAATGACTAAAACAAGAATAAAAATTAATAAAAAACTATATAGACTTTTTTAAAAAGAAAATGGTATCTAATACAAATGATAAAACAACAAAATTACTAAAACTTCAACTAAAATTAAAATGACAAGGGAAAATACTAAAATTAAAACTAATTAAAATATTTTTTTAAATTATAATACCTCAATGATACTAAAATAACACTTAATTTTTATTTTATTTTATTTTATTCAGTACAATGCAATGCAATGCATGTGTTCCCGTTTAAAATAATTTACAACATGACTATTACTGTGGCATGTTATATTCGATTAGAGCAAAACATGGTCCAAAAGTATATCTTGTTAGCATGTGTACATGTAGATGTAACAAGTATCAGGAGAAGTAAAAGAAACTCTTTCTTTATCCCTAATCACATGGTGAACTGTAACTTGGATGTCTGTGATCTCTTTTAATCCTTGCAGGATCTCCAGGCAGAGATTGATGCCCACCGGGAGATGTACCATTCATTAGATGAAAACGGACAGCGTATCGTGTCATCTCTGGCAGGAACAGACAATGCCGTGGTGCTACAAAAACGGCTTGATGACATGGGGTATCGGTGGCATGAGTTGTGTAACAAAGTTATGAGTATAAGGTAAGACAAATTAATCATCTATATTTAACCCGGGAAAAATTCACGCTGAGCAGAAACGGGCTTTGAAAAATAATGTGATCATATATAAGCCCCAGGCCTGTGTAATACTATGTGCAAACCATTGCATTTATTTGACTTTAAATATAAAGTATAAGCCGGCATACTTTTAGTCCTGCTTGCAAGGCATTACTAACAATTTAATGCTAGGTTTCCCTAACATTAAATATTATTATTTGACATGTTATTTGCCTGGATAATTTGCATTACAGAAATTAATGATGAATGAATGATTATTTTTTGTGTGTGCATATATACAGTGTATGTATATATACTGTGTATATATATATATATATATATACACACACACACACAATATCTGTCAAAAGTTGGATTTTGAAATGTTTTAAAGGGGTCATCTGATGCGATTTCAATTTTTCCTTTCTCTTTGGAGTGTTACAAGCTCTTGGTGCATAAAGATCTGTAAAGTTGCAAAGACTAAAGTCTCAAATCCAAAGAGATATTCTTTATAAAAGTTAAGACTTGTCCATGCCCTCCTAAAACGCCTCGTTCTAACACGCCCCCACATGTCTACGGCACTGTGTGGGAAGATTTGCATAACGCCACCAAATGTTCACGCAAAGGAGAAACAATAATGTACATTATGTGGAAAATAATGTTTTTTTAACCTTAAACCGCATAAACACATTGCATTACACCAAATACACAAAATAATGTTCTTTTTAGCAACATCATATGACCCCTTTAATGAAGTCTCTTATGCTCACCAAGGCTGCATTTATGTGCTAAAAAATACAGTAAACACTAATATTGAAAATAACTTTGTCTATTGTAATATTTTTTAAATGTAATTACATTTTACATTGTTATTTACAACTATATTATATTTGTCTTTATATTTATTATTTATGTATTATAATATTATAATATTTGTTTTAATAGTTAGAACATATTACTACTAATAATAATAATCATAATTAAAATGATGAGTATTTTTATATTCATTCACAAACACCCATAAACGTTCAAAAGTGTCATTAAATTATAATTTACAACTGTAATATAGTTCTGTCTTATTTTTATAATTATTTTGTATGTATAACACCGTGTCAACAACTTAGCATCATGTTGATGTGTTTTGCGCCACTCATATTTCCAGCAAATGTAAAAAATCTTTTAGTTTTGCTTTCAAGTCTGCAATTTTTATCCAGACAGAATCTGCAATACTTTCACATAAGGTCTGAATTCATGATGTTTGAATGCAAATTTGAGTTCCATTAGTGCTAAATAGCAACTTCTAGAACCACATTTGTCTCGATAAAAGACAGAGCTGGTAAAAGCTTTTTTAATGTTCATGCATATTCAAATACAAGATTCAAAGATTTCTCGAATCTCCTCCTTTATCCAGCACTTCCTTTGTAAAATTCAGTTGCGGTCTGACAGTATGGTGCTCTCTAGTGGTGTTTGTAATTTAACACTTAACAGTGTCGCATCTCACCATCCATTCGACTCCTCAGGCCCTATCTGGATGCAGGTGTGGATCAGTGGAAACACTTACACATGTCCTTACAAGAGCTGCTCAACTGGCTGCAGCTGAAGAGGGAGGCGCTAGAAAAGCAGAAGCCAGTAGGGGGCGATGTGCCGACCGTGCACCAACAACTACTTACGCACAAGGTGAGTCCAGGACGCATCCTCTTCGCCCCTCACTGAAAGCATGAGGAATGACGTTCGAGGCGTGATTTATGCATTCTGTCTTTTGTTGCGCCCAAGTGTGATCATTATCGGAGTCTGTTCTTGTTAAATATTTAAACAGATGGAGATGATATCTTGCGTAGGAGAGGTGCAAAGTCCCTTGTCTCTTTGCATGGTTGTGCGGACCAATTAACATCTGCTGATGGCCATCAGCTGTCAGGGGCTGCTGTAAACAGGATGCGGTTAGTGTAGGGAGCTCAGTGAGCGCGAGTCACTGTCACACTCTACAGGTGCAGTTAACTGGGAAGTAAACTGGCATGTGTATAGGAGCTGCAAAGAAAGTCTCAGCACAAATTTAATTGAACCAAGTTTTTGCAAACTATTAAATAAATTGACATTGCTGTGCTGTGTCTGAGCAAACGTCTGAGACCGCAATGAAAACCTAGAATTTATTTTCCCACTCTTACTTGGTAATAAAGTTTGAAAACAGAAACGGTGTGGTATAAATTTTGCATATTAAATATATGGTGTTGAACTAAGTTTCATAAACGGTCGGATTTCTTTGCGTCTGTTGAGAAACAGGACACTGTTTGGATCATTCTAAAATCATACTAGATAACTTGAACATGAGGTTTTTATTTAAATTGTATTCAATTTTGCAATCCTGTATTTTCACTTGTATTTGCTGTTGTAGCGCTTTGTGTATGAGAAAAGAGCATTATAAATAAAATTTATTATTATTATTATTATTACCTAAACTTGTGGACTTCATGGAACTCAAATGCTGCTGTCATTCATGTAAAAGTGACAATTATCAATTCAACCTTTCACTCAAATAATATAATTAAGAATAAAATATTTTATAACAATTAGAAAAATGCAAATCAGAAACATTTTCACAAATAAGAAAATAATAATGATCAACTTTTTTATATCTTACTGAGGTTATTATATTTTTTTATTTTAATGGTTGAGATAATGTAATTTTTAGGGTTTGTTCATAAAAACAATAATGAATGAAACGCGTCCACTGATAGTGTCACATGGGATTTTTGCTATTTTAGGATTATTTATATAATATTATAGTATTCATTAAACTTTTTTATATTTTCAGTTTTAATTTTTTGTCGTGTTTAATAATTTCTTAATATTGCTATTTCGCTTTATTTTGATCTCAGTTTTAGTAATGTTAGTATTTAAACATTTTATTTTTTTTTCAAAAAATATTTTTGTTGTTTTAGGTAACAACACTGGCATGCAACGTCTGCATTATTTTAGCACCTGGTTCTTTGAAGGAATTATGCATATCATGTAATGATGTAGAAACAGTTGATGACAGTTTGTATTGCATGGAAATGTGCCCAGAAAAATTGCTGAAAGATCTGAGCAGTAAAATTTTCACACAAGGATCACTAGAAAATGTACACAAACATTGGTAACAGTACTGTGTTAATTGCATCCTGCTGTATTGATATTTGTGAATCCAGTGCATTCTATAATGAGCCCTATTTGCATAGGAAGTAGGCATGTTTGCCCAGGAAGGAATGACAATGGATTAATTTAAATGTGCATGAGGCGTCACTATACCAGCACAAATAGCACCTGGTTAAGTGTGACTGCAGGGGGGTACAGTATGTGAATAAGATGCAGGTTTTCGCATATGTGCTAAAGTTGCAGAAATATTCACCCCTCCTTATGACATTCAGTACTTGATAGCAAAGTCCTCATGCTTTCATAGGGCTTCAGAAGGGAATTGGTTGCCAAAGAACCAGTAATCAATGGAACACTCGACAATGCTAAAACCTTCCTTGCTGAGATGCCTCATGAGGGTCTGAAACAGAGGCCTGGACAAAAGGGTATGAAATCTCTCCTTACACATATGCCCAATACAAGAAATTCTAGATGCTATAACCTGTCTTATACTTATTGTATGCCGCCCAGATGTAAGTCCTGAGGAGAGGGTTCAAAATGTGGGCCGCATATTGCGTAAAGAAGTGGAGGATGTAACGGTGCGATGGAAGAATCTGGGTGCAGCTGCCGTTGACTGGCAGCAACAGCTGGAACTGGCCATGGAAAGGCTGATGGAGCTCCGGGATGCCCAGGATCAGCTGGACTTCAAGCTACGGCAGGCTGAGACCGTGAAGAATTCTTGGAGGCCTGTTGGGGACCTGCTCATAGATGATTTGCAAAACCACATAGACAGAGTAAAGGTTGGTGTCCTCTCATGGTACATCGTATAAGGGATAAGATGTTTTGGACATGTTCTGTGGCAATACCATGGTATTATTTGAAGCACCTTGGAGTAACATGTTTATACCATGATATATATATATTTAGCATTTTTGCCAAAAGGCATCAATATTTTATGTATTTTTTCAGGCGTTCCAGGAAGAGATTGCTCCCATCCAGGATAATGTAAATCAGGTGAACCAACTGGCTTCCACATTTCGACCACCTGACATTCAACTTTCTCCAGACAACCTGAGCAGAATTGATGACCTCAACATGAGATGGAGGCTCCTGCAGGTATCCATCCTTGTTCTTCTTATTTAAAGTCAATGTAAATTGATGTTTTGCAACGTAATCTTATGTATTTTCAAGCAAAAGGCCATGTTTAACAAGAAATGAGGGACTCGATTTGATCCATTGGTAACTGATTGACTGTCCCATACCTATATGGAGCGATTATGCCAAAACAATGCCTAAATAGCTATTTGGCTATTGGTTAACATTATCCAGTAGCCAACATGGGCTTAGTGACATCAGCAAAAAGGACCGTTGTTTCAGATGAAAAGCAAGGTGTTACATTTTGATTAAAGATTACAAAGACAAACTAGTGTTCATTTGGAATAACATGCACCAATTAATTGTTGAGAATAAAGTTAGGAAATTGTACAAAGAAAGTAGTTTTGATTTCATGTTACATTTAAAATAACACTCATTCCAATGGACCAACTATTTATAAATCTAGCCAGGTCACAGATTTAGTTTCTGAAACAAAAATAATCAAAAAATACGGTTCAATCTTTGGGAAGCTGTAGAAAAGTGTACATGTCAGCAATAGATGTAACAAGCAGATCACAAAAATGATCTGTCCTTCAGAGATTTGACAAAGGACACAGAAAGGCATTATTTAATAAAAGGAAGTAGGACAGAAACATAAAAACAATCATGATGAAATATTCTAAAGAAAAACAGTTTTCTTTTAAAATTGTTTTATTGTCCATTGCTGTCATTGTTTCCTTCTGTGAGTGTTGTTATTGTCAACTAAAACTTTTAAAAATCATTTCTGTTAATGCAATGGAAATGCTGAAAAGCTTTTGAAAACCTAAAATAAAATAAAAATAGTAAATCAAAAAAACGTAAACTTAGAAATGTTGCCTTGGCAACTACGTGAAATTACAACATAACTAAAAAATTTAAGCTTAATAGAACTGTTTAATAAAAACGACAAAATGAAATTAGAAAAGCTTAAATTAAAATGAAAACTCAAAATATAAATAAAAGCTAATTCAAAATGTTATAAATAATAAAATGCTGTATAAATGATACTATAATTCTAAATTAATTCTAGTCCCTCTTTTCTGTCTGTTCTGTGGTTTTTAGATCTCCATCGAGGAACATCTGACCCAGATGACCACAGCCTATAAGGACTTGGGGCCCCAGTCTCAGAATTTCTTACATGGTGAGTGTGTTTGTGTTGTTCTGTTTTGCAATATTATGAGTATTGATAACATTGCACTTGTATACTAATCCTGTGTATTTAGTTGTCAAGTCAGTTACTGTACATAAAATGCGTCATGTACCAAATGAAGAAGTGTTTGCTTAGAAAGGGCTTTTTGAAATTAAGGTAACATGAACGGGTTTTCTTCTCTGCACACAGCATCCGTTGAAAGCCCTCTTGAACGCTCTATTTCGCCCAACAATGTCCCCTACTATATCAAGTAAGTCTTCCCAAACTCAGCCCACATGTTGATGTCAGGCACATTCAAGGTCCACACTGAATTAACAAATTGAACTTCAACACTATGAAAGCTCCCAGACTAAGAAATATATCACAGCTGGCGGCAGACTACCAAAGAAAAGTGATTTTCCATGACCTTTTTTCCGAACAGAGATATCACCCTGGAAAATTTGTGCAGAATAATCTGAGATGATAAATTAGGCTCTGCCAATGCATGTAGCAGCATGCATCACATATAGCTGAGAACTTGTGCGCACAGATGACTGAGTGAGCGAGTCTCGAGTTTCAAACAGATAACCAATCATATATTTTTGCTCTTTGTAATAAGTGATACATAAATGTGTGTAGGTATAGAACTCAACAGCATACGAGTACAATGTCAGCCCTGGTGACTGAAAGATTTTGTTAATAGCATTTTATTTTAATATTATTTTTTTTCTGCAATGTAGAAATGCTTTTCTATAATGAATTTCATGTCAAAGCAATCTTATCCAAGGTCAAAAATATACAGTACCTATATTCATACATGTTAAATTGCCAATGTATATAACCATGTATATTATTTGACCCTAGGTTAGTCGTGAGTTATTAAATGAAGCATTTTTTCCCCAAAATAGTACCTGTGAGAAAAAGTTGTTAGTAGCTCAACAAATGGTGATAGCAAGTTTTACATCAAAATGCAGAAGATATTACAGAATGTTAAAATATTCTGGATTTTAAACCTGATGGCTGATTTATGAAAATGTGAATAATGTTTTGCAAAATAAGGCCTTAGTGAATTGTTCAAACTGTTCAATATACCCCCTGACATGCAGAGCTTAGCACATTTTTAGAAGTTATGTTCCATAGCTATATGATATAGATGCTTCTTGTTTCAGTAGATACTATAGCAGACATCCTGCAATATAATTATGAGTATTGCTTTCACTTCTATCTGATTTTTCTTTGCCTAGAGGAAAACTTAAAGCGGCACATCTCATCCCACTTGTCTTGCTTACAAGTTGCAATAACCTCATATATACATACAATAATGTTCAAAAGTTTAGGATCAGTAAGATTTTTAAAAGAAATTAATAGTTTTATTCATCAAAGTTGCATTAAATTGATCAAAAGTGACAATAAAGTGATTCATAATGTTGCAAAAGATTTCTGTTTCAAATAAATGCTGTTCTTTTGAACTTTCTACTCATAAAAATTTTTCACAAAAATATTAGGCAGCACAACTGTTTTCAACATTGATAATAATGAGAAATGTTTCTTGAGCATCAAATCGGCATATTAGAATGATTTCTGAAGGATCATGTGACAGTGAAGATTGGAGTAATGACTGCCTAAATTTCAGCTTTGTCTTACAGGGATCATTTTCATTTTAAAATATATCAAAATATATATATAAATTTTTTTTTATATCAAAATATAAAAGTTATTCTAAATTATAAAAATATATCACAATATTACTTTATTTTTGATCATATAAATGCAGCCTTGGTGAGCATAAGAGACTTCTTTCAAAAAAATTCTTAATTAAAAATAAACAATTATTGACCCCACACTTCTGAAAATGAGTGTACAATAGGATTATAATAAGAGTCATTCCAGTATAGTGATTTCATCACAAAATCTATATCATCCTCAGAAATGGTCATGTGATTATGTGGTTAACTGGTGTCTTCATTTTCCTGAGCCAGTTATGCCAGGCTTTCTCTATAACAGATCAATTCGAAACAACCAAGCTGAAACCCCCCAGCATGTAATGCATTTATTACTCACTCGCTTGGCATACAGTATTTAATTTAATCTTTAAAGTATGTGCACAACCTTCATATAAATTCAGGGCAGCATTTATGCTCATGGCAGTGCATGAATCTGACTTCAAGTAGGAGAGAACTGACTCTTAATGATGCTGTCATAGATTATGAATGTCATTAATGCTGGTCAAGCGGAGCAGTACTTGCAGTCAGATGGCACTAGAATTTGTTATTTCCCGCCTATTGCATATGATAAGCTGCAGGACAAAAAGGGGATCGCGTTATAATAACTTTCATTAATAAGTCATCAACAAACATTAATGCTTAACAGATCAGTAGTTCATTCACTCATTTATATGAAATATACGTATGAATCCAAGTTTCATGGCATTTATATATGTACAGTAGTGATCTAAATGTTCGTTAATGTCAGTAATGAAAGTTATTATAAAAGTGTTATCCAATGAAATATTTTACCCATAAACTTTTTATAGGCTTTTTACTCATAAACTTCATGAACTCCATCCCATCCAATACATTAAGCAAACTATTGCATATTATGTGGATCATAATTTATTTAGAATTTATGCAAAATGTAAGCCTAATGAAATGAGATTCCTGCACTGTAGCACCAGCTTTTGTCAGAGAATAAATAACCCATCTAGCCCTCCACGACAAAACAGTAAATACTGATCATTTCCACACTGAGTGGTTGTGTCTCAAATCCCAGTGAGCTGCCTGCCTTACCTAGAAATTATTTTTTTAATCATAGATATGTTTGAATATTGGATCCAGAATTGTTTATTTATTTATTTCACAAAGACTATTTAATTCAAGAATTTTGACCATAGGCTAATAGGCTTTTTTGTTTGTTTGTTTGTTTGTTTGTTTTTTCGTATTATTGGTGCAATTTTTTTTACGTTCAGATGTCTGATCTGAGCATATGGAAATCATCAGAATGTTAATATTTAATTCAAGCATATCTCAGGATTAATGGCGAGATTATCCTACGGTGGCCGTGAAGTGCAAAGCAAATCACAATTCTGAAAACAAAATAACAAATTACAAATTTTGACGCGATCGACCCAGGTTCGATACCACCTTTTGCCGAGCTTTTTTTTTCTCCCTTTTCAAATCTCGTATCACATCGTAAAGGCATTTATTTTCAGATTTGAAAAGGGAGGGAAAAAAAGTTCGGCAAAAGGCGGAATCGAACCCGGGTCGATCGCGTCAAAAAGCCAAAGACACACGCTTATCCATCTGCGCCACTAGAGCTGATGGTTTACAATCACTTTGAACTAAATGTAAATATACACCCCGTATTTTTTTTTTTCCATAGTAAGGGCAACTCATACAATACATTTAAACTGAGCTACTTTAATATCATCTCCGAACTTTCTACCACGACTCTGCTGTTCTTCGGCTGGTTCTTCCCTG